TCTAAAACATTACTAGTTGAACACGTTAATGAAGTGAATATGCTGGTTGATGTTGAGGACTTACATCCAATTGAAAAAGCTGACCTTAAATTTATTGCTACAAGTAACAGAAAAACTTGTAGAAATAATCTTTATGAAAACGAAAACAAAATTGGAGGAATTTCATTTATGGGACTAAATAAGTGGAAAGTAGAAATTTCTGCTCCAAATAAGAAAGACTTTTCATTCACACTATCAGTAAAAGCACCTGATGATAAGTCATTATTTCTGTCTGTTCCACTTTCAGTTCTCAGTTGTAGTCTGGTACCCCTTGATAAGGAACCCATTGACACTTCAGTCACTAGGATTTCTTCTACAGTGTACAAAATTCAACCTTCAACACATGGCTTACTTGCAGTGAAGTTAAAAGTATATGATGTCCAGCTTAAAGGTGCATCAATACTAGTACCTTTGAATCCTCACCTTTGTAAAAATACTCCAATTCGTACTATAGCTGGACTTAATGGCCCATGGGGAGTTGCAATAGCTAGCAATGGGCATATTTTTGTTTCTGAGTTTCATGGTGAATGTGTGACAATGTTAGACAGTACAGGGAAGAAGGTGCATTCTTATAGGGTAACAGAAAAAGGTAACTGCAAGTATTCTCATCCCCGTGGCATCGCTATTATTACAGAATTAAGTTTAAGATCGAATCTTTTCAGAGGACGAGTCAGATGGGATCAGTATCCTGTTTCAAATGACTACCTTATTATTTCGGATGAGCACAGAATCAGAAAGGTAATGGTGACAGATGGATTAAGTGTAGCATCAGCTGGAAAGAAGGGAAGCGGACCGCCTCAATTTAATTTTCCAATTGGTTTAGCTGTTTGTCGAACATTGCCACAATCTGTTTATGTTTGTGATTGCTTTAATCATTGTATACAAATCTTAGATTCTGCATTACAATCTTTATCCATGTTTGGTTCTGAGGGGTCAGGTGAGGGACAATTTGACCAACCTACAGATATTGCTATTGATAATCAGGGCTGCCTGTATGTTACTGATACTGGCAATCACCGAATTCAAAAGTTTTCTTCTGATGGAAAGTTTATATTCAAATTTGGTACAGAAGGATCAGGTCAGGGGCAGCTCAAAAATCCATATGGTATTACAATAGATGAAAAGACCGATCTATTGTATGTCACTGAACGGAGCAATTCCAGAATATCTGTTTTCAATAGCGATGGTGAATTTGTTTGTAGTTTTGGGAGTAAAGGCAATGGAGATGGTGAACTTAATGAACCTAGAGGAGTAAGTTTTAACAGAGATGGATTCTTATATGTTTGTGATTACTTAAACAATCGAATAGTAGTGTATTGACTTTTATAATTACATTTATGACAACTGTACTCTACTGTACTATTTTATTGTTAGTGTTAGCTTAGTTTAAATGTTCACAGTGATGTGATGTACACAAAGACAATTATATTTTAACTTGTTATTTAATCAGAATAATAATATTACATTTTACAATACAAGTACCTAAACAGTAAAATCAATCATAGATGATTATTACAGTCCTTGATGAATGAATTAATAATTAAGAATAATGCTGGTAGTATAATATAATAATTATTATAATAATTATCATTGAGGATTGTGCAGAAAATGACATATAGACTTCACTAATGCTTTCTCTTGAGTACTCAACTCTAGTCTCTCCAAAAACTCATCCTGTACAGGACAAAGATGAGTTAAACCAGGGCCATCATGAATAAAGCTATCATCACCATCGCTCTTGCTTGAAACAACAAAAGATGTTCTTCTTTTCTCTCTTCCTGCTATGCTATCAACCGGTTCACCATATTTGATGCTAACATTGAAAGGCAAGTGGCTGGAATCGTGATATTGATGCAATGTGAATTGATCTGGCTCTGTAAGCAATAACAATGTACTATCATCAGCATAACGTGCTCTCAGGTGACCCTCACTGACAGACTGCCAGCGATACCATACACTA